TTCAATTAGATGTCTGTTTACGATCTCATCAGTACTTTAATAAGATGTCGGTTTACGAACTCATCAGTACTTTAATTAGATGGTCTGTTTACGAATTCATCAGTACTTTAATTAGGTGTCTGTTTACGAACTCATCAGTACTTTAATTAGATGGTCTGTTTACGAACTCATCAGTACTCTAATTAGATGTCTGTTTACGAACTCATCAGTACTTCAATTAGATGTCTGTTTACGAATTCATCAGTACTTTAATTAGATGTCTGTTTACAAATTCATCAGTACTTTAATTAGATGGTCTGTTTATGAACTCATCAGTACTTTAATTAGATGTCTGTTTACGAACTCATCAGTACTTTAATTAGATATAAGTGTAACGTCTCTGGTAGATTTACAAAACAGAGCAGTAAGATTCAGAAGGTTTCAAATTAATATTAACAAAAATTTATCCTTAAAAATATGTACATTTACAAATTACCTATACTAGCTCTTTTATTAATCATATTTGCAGGAGACAGTGATTTTTGTACAACATCAATATTAACACTGATTTTTTTCTCCTTGAGGGAATATTTGCTCTTGAACAGCAGTCACCCATCCAGGCTAGCATCGATTTGACTTCAACAGTCAACCATCAATTTGACTTCAACAGTGAACCATCGATTTCGACTTCAACAGTGAAAATACATGTACTATCATCTATGTTATGGCCTACAGAAGCTAATATTGACCAACATCAATAAGAAGAGACAAGATTTGTACTTCAGCAATCGTTTCATGGTGTGCAGTATGTATATACTGTATATGATTATAAAACATACCTTAAATAGTTATAGACAGGGAAGCAAGAATTTTAAGGTATAGAAAAAGGGTCCAAAAAACATAAGCTCCTTTTTCCAATTTTCTGATTTCAGGTCACTTGCCATGGGGTTAAGAACTGTCAGTCGACCTTAAACAGGCTATGATATATATATATGGTAGCCCCCGGGGCCCCGGTCACTGTCAACCACATAGTATATACTGCAGCCCCGAGCACTGATTGTGTTACATAACTACCTGTGAGGCCTTTGTATTGTACTACCAGCTGTGAACCAATTACACCTACTGATCATGATCATACATCGTAACATGTGAGAAAATTACTACGTAATGGGTAATGCTGCTGAGAAAACTAGCCCAGCCAACATATACAGATTACTTATACCTACTATGTGTATGATGAAATGGGTTATACTTTGTGTATAGTTGTAGCTATTTCACCTTCATCACTCAAATTAATCTCAACATAATTTTTTTTTTATGAAATCAACCAGAGATCTAACCTTCAAAGAATGATCTAATGTTTTTATCCACATTAAAATTCTTCGTTTTTGAGTCAACGAAAAAATTCTTCCAATTAAAATGCTGCTGTCTGTAGTGTGTAGAGTGGTTATTATGACCATTAATCAGTATAAAATATTAATACAACATGATCCAGAAAATAGATGAACCAGCTGTCTATATTTACAGTGATCCTGAGAGGTATATTTCTCACCGGTACACAGGTGTTGTAGCTGGTATATATATATTGTACCTTGGAGTGACTAACACCTGAGGGTCCTCTTATAGATCTGTCTATGTCTGTCGTATTGTTCTCTTATCTATAGCTTAGATCTGTCTCTTCCCACAGATCAATGACCCAAACAAGTATTTTGTTGACTCAAAATTCTTTCAGGAAAAAGGATGTGATTACTCATACATGAAGTATTGTTACTTCAAGTTCAACATACATCAATTTAAATACCTCTGACAGTTGTAAAACTGTACAGGTTTGCACAATGCAGGTAGATATGTTTTTACCTAGGTTATTTTGGGAATGGGAGGGGGGGGGGGGGGGGGGGGTGGTGCATGGGTTTGGATTTGGAAAAAAAAACATGTTGCAGAACCAAATTGGAAAATATTGGAATTATAACAAATACTTATTTTGTTTTTGCAAAGTGTCATCTACAAGACTAAACAACTTAATGTATGAAAGAATGTTTCTTACAGATGTTGTTACCTTAATTTGTCATCTAATAAAAAGCAGAGAATTAAAAAAAAAGTGTTATTATAAATTTTGAGATTGGGAAATTTTAAAGAGTTTTAAGTATATACATATAATTCGGCCCAAATATTTGCCCCAGAAAAAGCCCTGGTAGAACAACGTAAGTGTATAAGTTAAACAGATTTAAAACTCTTTCTGAACCAACAAACACTTTTAACAAGTTCATGTCTCTACATAATTATAAAATCTGTCAAATTCATTTCAATTTAAAGCCGATCTCCCTAGCATTTATCTAACGTAATTAAAATTCTGAGAGTCACATCACTAAGTTGTAAATGGTCGTGTTCATGCACAAACATGAATGTAAGAAATATATTCCACAATTCATGTCACGTAAAATATTTAATTTCTGCAAAATTATTTCGGCCGTATCTTACTTCAAAATCAGCTAGCTACCTTTCAGTGCATACAGTCTCGCGCAAGAAAAAAATTAAATCACCACAATTATGCGTTATGTAAATTTCCTGTAAAATATAAACAGCTGCACGGAGCGTAAGAGATTTATACGACTGGTAAATCAATATTTTAGAGCACACATTTAATGACACATCAATAATACACCGAGATGTACCAGTGCATTATTACCTGTGAAATTCAAGCATATATTGTTTATCAGCGTTTAAAAGAACCTGTGCAAACACTGGATAAATATCACATGACATGTACAGCTCAGTAGATATCACATGACATGTACAGCTCAGTAGATATCATATGACATGACTTAAGCTTGTAGCTCTGTAGATGTCATTTTGCTCTCTTATTTTGTCAAAAAGAAATCGTGGTAAATAATTTGCAGTTTAAATTTTGCCCAGCAGCTATACACATATCCTGATCCGTGCAAAATTTAAATGGTAGACCAGTATTGTATGTTCACCCATGTGTGATTTTGATGTTTTAAGTACTGCAAGTAATGCCTGAGTGAATTTCTGGTATGTCAAGTCTTGGCTATAAACCTGTTACAATATATGTGTACACACCTGACACAAGGGACAGAACACAAAAGTACATGTACATAGGTGACATTCCTCAGGCAGTGATCACCATATGACATCCAGTAGATCCGGCACACTCTATCTAGTCATTTCTAAATGAATATTATATTGCAAAGCCAATATTTTACCTACAATGTACCCCACCGGTAGTCTATATCAGAACAAGAGACTTAAAGTTAATATTTTATAATAATACATACAGTATACATAATTATACATGATTTCCTCAACATGCCCACTACCTGTGTCACCTACATATACCTCCTCATTAAACAAGCTAGGGTTAGACCTGTGTGTTATCAAACCATTCCTGTGTATAAAACAACTAGGATAAATTTAAACTTACCTGGTTTTTTGTTCAAACGAGTGTTACAATTTACACACAGCTTCTCAAATTTACCAACAGCAATGAAGCAGGGTTTGTAATAATAATCTATAGTCAGACCTTCAAAACAAGACCCTGCATCACTCAGAGTCTGTGTCACGCAAAAGCTTGACTAGAATTAAAATGATGAATTCGTACAGAGCCAATGAGTGACAAAATTCATACCCAGCTGGGTGTTCAGGAGACAATTATACACATGACCGATTGGATTTATGGATGTGTCAACTCCTTCCAGAGGCCGGATTATCCATAATTGAACATGAGAATCAATACCTCGACTCAGACCAAGATCTAGCGTCCCAAGTCACAATGGACCAGATATAATTCAGTTGGCCTGTTATTTTTAATATAAAATTTCCCCAATTCTTTAGTTACTGACCCCAAAATATTTTTTTCAAACAGCTTAAACACGTACAATTTCAGTCAAAGGTCAGATGTGACAACAGAATGGAAGACCTTTACTTTATAGGACCCTCTATAGCAAACAATGCAACCGCCTACTGTGACCTTTCAAAGGCATTTCAATTTATCTTGAATTACAATACCAGATGATTATAATTCTTTTCCGGTAAAACATGAATTGAAATCATTACTCAAAAATTTGATACACTTTATAAAGAACATCTATACATAAACCTGTAAACCGAGAGTGAAGATCCCAATTCAGCCCATGAACGTATGTCACTCCTATGTAAATCTCCACAATTAACAACCCTCACCTTATGATTACCGTATTTTTTTCCTCGTGAAATTTACCTCTCCATCTTTCACAGTATGATGATCTAAATAAATAACATGCAAGAAAGAAATTATGATACTGATTATATCCCCTAACATCTTCTGTAACAACCTTAATTTACAGTTTACACTTCCTCTCCCTACTTCAATTACTTTCCCCAAATACTGTAAAAAAAATAACAGGGATTTTTCAAGGAAAAAGTGTTATATTTTTAAAATATGGGAAACAGCAGAAGTAAACAGGAGAAATTTCAACAGTTTGGGGACCTCGGCTTCAAAATGTTATAAACTAGTTATAATTATCAGACACAAAATTCTTAGTTTTGTTTTATATCAATTTTTTCCTGCATGCATGAACTCAATCTATGATTACTTACTGTTACATATATAGAGTACTTATATTGATGAAATCTAATTACATGTTTTGTAGATCAAATCTAATTACATGTTTTGTAGATCAAATCTAATTACATGTTTTGTAGATCAAATCTAATTACATGTTTTGTAGATCAAATCTAATTACATGTTTTGTATATTATTTTGATGGTCAACAAATACGTGTCTGATATAATCCTAACATATTGCTGTATAGATTAATACTGTAATGATACGGCAACGTTTACCTGGTGTAGACTGGAGTTTCTGTTCTAAAACATGTGTCTAATGTATGATCTAATGTATTACGGTACTGAGTAATGATACAGCATCGTTTACCTGGTGTAGACTGGAGTTTCTCTTCTAAAACATGTGTCTAATGTATGATCTAATGTATTACGGTACTGAGTAATGATACAGCATCGTTTACCTGGTGTAGACTGGAGTTTCTCTTCTTATCAGACCTTGTTCAGCCTTGAAAATTGAAACAATGCTTCATCCGTCTCACAACAACAAATCTGGGTTGTCTGTCTGCTGCCGATACCAGTTATTGATTTGATTCAATATAACATGGTGCAGTGTCCGTGTTGTTTTTACGCAGCACTGTTCACAAAATGGCTACCCTAAGATGTATGTATTTCTACAGTACCGTATCACCCAACACTCCAAAAGGGGAGAAATTTTGTCATTGGTCCCGAAAAATCAATACAGAGACATTCCATTGACTGCCATATGTGTCACCTCTTCTATTAATAGAACTGGCAGTACAACTGTTAGAATTAGCCCTCGGGATCGCCCTGGTAATCCCAGCTACACTGTACACTCCCTCATGAGAGAAAAATCTATGAATGCAGATCTAGATCTAGATGTAATGATGAAATACAATTACGGTGTGGTGGACCTGCTCGTGCTAATTTGAGTAGTAATCACATTTAAGACAGTAATGATGACCGGAGGCAAAGTGACCAAGACCAGCTGTCTACTAGAACGTGTAACGCCATCCTACACATATATATAATACTTGTTCACACACAGTGCGGCACCTTTTAATGACTTTTATGTCTTTTATATAATTACAAAACTTAGTTTCCATCAATCTCCACTATTCTACAGACTAATGATGTGGCTGGGTTTTATTTTCAATGAAAAAATATTAGAATGTAGTAAGTGACAGGTTTTAGAGACCTTCTTTAAATAAAAGTCATTTATATAAAAAAAAAGCTATATTCATGTTCCGAATTCATTTATCCTACGTATGTTTTTGATCATATCAAACACTACTGCAGAGATATTGGTGCGATTTTAGACAAGAAACCCTTGTTTAGCTTCTGTTCTTTCCTTTCAGGAAGAGTTTAAACAGACTAATAACAGATAATTGTCAGTCAATTTATATATATACTACAGTGGCAGATTTGTGTCATTTCATAATTCGTCTTTTCTCCCCCCAAAAAAGATGAGAATTAACTTTACTGAGTCGGCTCCCTCTATAGCTTCTAGCTACCACTACTAGTTACCCAATATCAATGGTCACTTCATACAGTTGTTTTACAAAAGACCCGAAACTCACTTTGATATATATGTCTTCATCATGGCAATAAGAAACTGTACAAGGGGGACTAAAACATATAATCCTATTATCTGTTCAGTGAACAATGGCATCCTAAACCAATAGACTGACAATTCTCACGTTTCTCGCCAGTGACTTTATTTTAGGGCTCAGTAAAACCATACAACACTGCCTAAATTAGAACAGACTCTAGACCAGTGACCAGTTCCATATATAGTAATCATTCAAACAAAAACAGCTTCGACAGATCTTTGGACTCATTTAAAGCTCAACATCTTCCAGGTTTGTAAAAATGGAACTGTCAAAATGAACTTCAGCTTTGATTTTCTTCAAACATCCTTATATGAAACTCGTATTTGAAGACACAAAAGTATTGAATTGTTGCCAGAGAAAGAATTTATGAGAAGATCAATATTAGGAAAGACAATTTCAAGTTGAAAATTGTATATTATTTATTTTAAGCTGAGCAAACCTTGTGTCCATTTTCAGGACTTGTTTTTGCAAGATTCCTCAGCTTGGAAGTTGAGGACCCATTTTGGTCAAATTAAACGCCATATATTTTGATAATTATTTCAAAATGCTCATTAAAAAAATATTTCTTGATTTAAAAGGCCTTACAACTCTAAGAATACAAAAGGAGTGGATTGGATAATTGTTGCATTAAAATTTAAGAAATATTTGAAACTTGGCTTCAAGTCTTGTTAAGCTGCCAGGGTAATGAGGTTTAGCCTGGTACAAATGGCAGCTTTAACCATTTTACCCCTAAAGTCACATTTGAACCTTACCAAATCAAAGACTGGGCAAGTCCAGTTGAAATATGTAGGGGTGAATGAGTTAATATTAGAGTTATTTCACTCCATCCACTCTCACTAATCAACTAATAACAGTACCCGTCACAGGAGACCTCCGTCACAGGAGACCTGATCATAACGACCCAGCTGTCACAGGACAGGGCTATTACAGAATTGATCCTAAAATACATAGAGATATATGTAATGGAGATGTTCTTGTTTTATACACGCAAAATACAGACAAACAGGTGTTGTCCTGTGGCAGCCGTTCATATAGGGGCGCTGACTCAGCTACCTGCTGTATGTGGTAGCTAGCTTAATGGTTATATATATATATCATTTTAACAGAATGCATTTGTTTTTCAAATGAATAAATTTTACATTTTAAATGAAGAACATTAGGAAATCTACCACTATACAAAAATAACAAATTTTATATAATGACTACCGGATCTTCAATCTCTCAAACTAAACAAGCCATTTGGATCGATATGTATTGCCTTTGCCCTGCTTTGACCATCAGTTATATCAGAGAAACTAACTTAAACGCAAAAACTTAATGTTGATGGAAATGCTGACAAAGTCAATGAATCATGAAAGGTATGCTGCCTCCAGCATTTGATGCATGGGTTGAGATGTACTTCTCAACCCATGCAACTTGGTTGGTGTAGCACTTATACTTTCAGAGAAACTAACTTAAACAGAGTGACTAGAGTCGAAGGTGAAGCCAGTTTATGACAACATTAAAACATTTATTCGAATTGATTATTTTCTAGTTCTACCATAAAGTAAGCACCTTCAACTAATTGAAGATTTTGTCACGAAATTGGGTTTATACTACATAATAATTATCCACTTAGTTAAAGTTAAGAGAAGGAAAATTTAATTGGAGGAGAGTCAGAGCAAGCCAGTTATTTGGCAATCCACACCATCAAAGGTTGCTCGGAAAAGGGGGAAATTATTATGTATGTAATATTCATGTAATTTTTAAGATACTATATACTACAATTCATTACCAATTTCCTTACATGGCCTTATATACCTAATTCTGTTGTACATATTATGATGAGTTAATTAGATATTACAGTCCAACAAATGCCAGTACTTATGGAAATTAAGAAAATAGAAGTTTGGCAGGTACATGAATGTGGTCACTCTATTTAGAGTGATACTTTGAAACATTTTCATAGTCATTTTGGTTAAAAATCGCATTCCTTACTAAAACTACTCGTGTAATGAAAATAAACACTGCCAGGTCACTATGAAATAACCGAATAATAAGAGATTAAAAGCAAATATACTGCTTAGCAAATCTAAATGCTTACGTGAGGGGGACTCGTCTATCATACCACGGATTGCTATCAAGTCCGTGATCAATTGATGTTACACGCACATATTCAATACATAGGCCGACATAAGGATGTATAATAATAACGATTCATGGAGACATTTTTTCGTATCATTGAACAATTTAATTATGGTGAGATCGTTTTGAAGGTATTACAACATCACAATGTCAACAACTCAAATGCACAGAATACTTACATTTTCACTTCCGCGTGTAAGATGATCACAGGTGTTCACGACAAAGGTAAATTAGTATATCTTTCCAAATTGCTAAATGCTTACATGAATAGAATGAAGACTAGGTATTCCTCATAGAGCTACTTTTATGTGATCGCACTGAACTTTGAAAGTTTTGGTTAGTCATATCTGAGTTAACATCCACTTACCTTTCCAAAGCGAGACTCTCACCCACGCCGGAACGAACTCAAAAGCGAGACCGCCGGGAGGTCAGGTCGATCGTTGCATGCATTTCAGTAATTTACAGCTCAATTTTAAACGCACATGTGCACTTAAATAACCAAATGAAAGATTTTCCATACCTGTTAATGTGTTGAATTGTCTCGTCAGTCCTATAATTACTTATTCACTGACTTCATATAGTTTTGAACCCGTTCAGGTAATTACGCACCTTGCTACATCCGGGCTACCTGTTTACTGTCACCGTTTTGATGACGTGTGGCACATCTATGATCAAATGGGGCGCCGACAGGTGAATCGCCACCGCCTTATTAGGGTACACTACAATAAAATCGGACGTTATTTGCTTTCCAATAAGGGGTTTTCCATAACCAATATTCGAATATTGCAACCCAAAGGTTGTTTTTTTAATACAGAAAAACAAAGATAAAATGAATAAATAATTATAAATACTGAAATCTACAACAAGAAAATTTCAGTCTGCACGAACAAGCTTCGAACAGGCATTCATTGCAAGTAAGACCACCAGGAAATTTTACCGGATGATCATGTGACCAAACTAATGCGTTCACATTTACCGCGGTAAACTACTACATGAACCAGAGGCGGGAAGCTGCAGATTCTAATGGAAGAAAAGAAATCAAGATTTTATATTAAATTCAATAAAAAAAAATGCTCATTTATAGTTACATAGTAACTTGAAGGCAAATAACAAAACAACAAATATAGAAAGAAACTGCAATAGTGAACAAGTATTTGTGTATAGTATAGAATAGTTATAGCATAGAATAGTTATAGTATAGAATAGTTTTGAATACATTAACCTAAATAGTCCCTTCTCGGCTGTGAATTATAGCCACACCTGAAGAAGAAGTGTTCCTCATCTTCTAGAACAAGCCATTATTTACGTACTCTTTGTTCTCTAGTTCTTTTTTCTTGATCTTCCTATTGCTAGTTCAAGGTTATACTCACACAATCTGAATTTTGTATACAACATTCTTAAGTTTTTACTTAGTGATCTAGATAGGTATTTTTCTTGGGTGTATTTTTTCTTATTATCTATATACAAGAATAATTTATTTTTATCTGTCATCGATTGTAGTTTCCTGAAAAAGTTGGTTTCAATTTCTTTAAAAATGCTAGTTTTAATTCTCTGTTTCATTTTTTATTCCATATAAGGTTCTGAGCATTCATTAAGTCATGAAGCCTAATTGTCTCCTCCACGTCTTTGGTGTAAATATACCATGAATAAACACCATTCTCATCTAATATTCTATTGAGTGTAAAGGATTCTGTAACCAAGGGATTTATATTGTTATTTTGTAAAATTCTGCTTAGATAATTACATGCTTGAACATTAATTAGGATTTCCATAGGATACTGTCCCAACTCGGCTGTTGACCCAATGATTACTGCCCTCTTAGGTAACCCTAAGGCCTGCTTACAGAACCTAAGATGAATTTGTTCCATGGGTGACTTGTCAATGATTGAAAAGTAATCAAAGTTTTGGTTATTTTGTTGTGCTCTCA